CACTCACACACACACACACACACACACTCTCACACACACACACACTCTCACACACACACACACACACTGTCTTTTGTTATTCGTTTGATGGTGTGTTCATATAAACTACTGTAACACAGGTAAATAAATGGATGTCAAATTAAACAAAATCTAACATAAAGTCAACTGTTATTCGTTTGATGGTGTGTTCATATAAACTACTGTAACACAGGCAAATAAATGGATGTCAAATTAAACAAAATCTAACATAAAGTCAACATGAGTCAACTGAAAATACAGTTTTTAAATGCGAATGTTATTCACTGAAGTACAGAAGTTCTCTCGTACCGACTGGGTCTGAGTAAAACTCTGTTTGCTCCTGTAGTTAATAGTTCCCAAATCTGTGAAGCTGCTGTGAAACATTACTGCAGCCCTCTTCAGTGAAGTCAACACTGATCCAGAGCTGTACGTGCGTCTCAGTCCGCTGCTGAGCTCCTGGATCAGTAGATGGTGCACATGATCACAGGATTACTTGATATCCAGACCGGACCTGTATCTCTTAGATTGTCTTCTCCAGATGTTAACTGATGGACTGGAGTGCTGTGGATTATTGTGATGTTTTTATCAGCTGTTTGGACTCTCATTCTGACGGCACCCATTCACTGCAGAGCATCCACAGCTGAGACACTGATGCAATGCTACATTTCTACTAACCTGATGAAGAAACAAACTCATCTCAGATGTAGAGCCCTGCACGGGCCTCAAATATAGTCCCTAGCCCTGCCCTGGCCCCAGATGCTCAGTCCCTAGCCCGGCCCGGGTCCAACAGCTCATCAGAGTCGCCGGCCCGAGCCCGTTCCCCCTTCTCCCAAAACAGCTTATACTACTGTTTCAGCTATTAAAATAGTTCAGTTTTGTATGTAATGTCAAAGTGATTATATTTCGTTTCGTTTTTTTATTAAGTTAATTTAGAAAATTAAGGATGCATTGCAAAAAGCTTTTTTTTGTTCTTAAATGTAAGTTTTTGTTTTTTTAAAGTAAGGACCAATCTGCAGACAGTGAGCTGATCATAGCCTATGTTTGATCAAGTTAGACTCCTCAAATCAGCACCACTTGCCTAAAATAAAATCTATAGATATGAAACAGTTCAAGCATATCACAGTGTCAGTTTAAATGTTTAAGCTCTAGATAAATGTGCTGTTAGCCGCATACCCAAGCGCTTGTGTGAGAGCTAAAGCGGAGGCGCCGGCGGGATCAGCTGCAGCGGAAACAACCTCACATATGCCGTCGTTATTGCTCATAAAGGTAAGAGTAATGCATCACTCGGAACTGTAAAGGGTCTACTCTTACTTGTGTGCACTCACAATATCAACAAAACCTTGTGCTTTTATTAAATAAAGGATACATACAGGATGCGCTTTCTGCAATTTCGGCCGAAACTCAGCGAATACTTGCCTCACAGACTTACTAAATATATCCGTAGAAAGCTTTAAATTACTTCTTTAAAACGAAATAATTCAAATCAAAAACAAAAACAATTTTTTTATGGATTTGATCAAATCCGTAAAGATGCAGTTCTCTCTAGAGGCGCGTCTGAGGATCCTCATCTTCATCTTTGCGACACGGACTCAGAAAACACTCATTTAATAATAAATCATTCAAATATCTCCTTACTATTTCCCCCGACAGCTTTCCCGAAGCACTGGGAACTGTTAGTAACCCACTTCTCCCTGATGCTGTGCAGGGGCAGCTGGCACCTGTAGCTGATGCGCGCGTATATGCGTTGCGTAATGCGTAAGCGATGTAGCATATTTATAATATAATCAATATAACCATATTTCATACAGTAGCCTGTGTGTGCTCTGCGCGTGTGTGGCACAATAAAAGAAGAGAAGCTAAATAACTCGGCGTGTACTCAGATGGCCTGAGTGTTTCATTTATGGGGGAACTTTCCTGTAGTGAACACACACACTGACGGTCTGTATGGGAAACAGACAAGTGGAGTGATAGAAGCATGCTTTCTACAGAAAGACGCTCTCTGTCTGATGGATGAGGTGCAGCATTTAGCAGCAGTGCCCTGCGGCCCGTGGGTTTGTTGTGTTCACCGGTCAGAGCATGTGTCGGTGTGCGTGTGCGGCGCGAGGACAGCAGAGGACAGTGGCGCGTGCGGAAGAGTCTGCAGATGACCGCTGTGTTTATCCAGCAGTGTGACGGACAGCATGAGTGAGTGCGTCCAGCTGAGCGTTCCCGCGCGCGTTCATCAGAACGTCTCCATCTGTTCTGGTCTGTAGCTCCGCCTCCGCTCTGGATTTATGGTTATTGCAGCAGCCGCAGTCAGTCAGTAGTGTACTACCGCACGCGCTCTCACAGCGCAGACCGGACCAGCATGACCGAGACTCAGCCCGAACCCACTCCAGACGCCGCGGAGGCGCACGGGCCGGAGGCGAAGCAGGAGAACGGCGACTGCACAGAGAAGGCGCCGCGGGAGTTCGAGCCCCCGGAGGGCGGCTGGGGCTGGGTGGTGATGCTGGCCTCGATGTGGTGCAACGGCTCGGTGTTCGGCATCCAGAACGCGTTCGGCATCTTGTTCGTGTCTCTGCTGAAAGAGTTCGGCTCCGAGTCAGACGAAGACCTGCGCTTCAAAACAGGTAACGCAGTGTGTGTGTGTGTGTGTGTGTGTGTGTGTGTGTGAGGCTCGAGTCCCCGCGCGCGGCTTACTGTATGATCAACAGCGAAGCGAAACATTGCTCCGCGTCGCCTGCTTTCGAAACAAAGTCATAGAGAAAGCGCTGCGGTTTATTAGTGTCGGGAAATCGGGTCGTAGCCTGTGCTTAGGGGACCCGGGGCTCGCTGGCGCAGTTTCACTCCAGTCAATGTTGATCAGCGTAGATTTATTTTCAAACCTGCAAAAAAACAAAAACAAAACTAGATTAGGAATGCACAGCGTTAATTAAACGCGTGTTGTGACAACATGCCCCACTTTATGTGGGGATCTATTATAGGCTTTTCAGCCAGATGTTAAATCATTGTTTTGGCCAGACAACCCCTGCTCTGTGAGAAAACACTTCAACCTTTCAGTATATGCATTAATATATGCACTCTAAAAATGCTGGGTTATTTTGACTAACGTGCTGGGTTGTTTTATTTAACTCAACTATTGTTTAAAAATGACCATATAGCTGGCTTAAAACGGGCTGGAAATTAAAAATAACACACAGAATTACTAGAAGCAACAGCAATAATCAAAAGACGAACATTTATTAGTAAGCAAGAACACTCATGGACAAAACTATAAGACGAATTGAATTTATTTAGATGAATGCAGCATAGTTTACAATATTGCATACTCGTTTAACAAGCATTTTAGAAATAAAAATCGGTAACACTTTACTTGAAGGGGTGTGCATAAGACTGACATCTGTGATGCTATCGGTGGTGTGATAGTCATGTTTACAGCAGTTCCGTTCCATCTTTCAGATGCTCCTTTATGAAAGTCAGTTTATGACACTCGGACTCATCTACATCTGAATGTGTATTACGGTTGAGACAGCTCAGCCCAAACCACTGATGAAGATTAACGGTGTTCTGATGAGTCGTCATACGGATCCTCGACATGCCAGTTGACTACAGCGGTCCTTCAGGACTTAAAACTGCATCAGAAAGACAAGCGAAGGCCTTAAAAACTCTTAAATCAGAGCAGAAAGTCTTGAATTCATAAAGTCACGGCATTGAATGTTGCATTCATTGCAAAGAAATTCATATCTTCCTCAGTATTTTTGTCTTGTTTTCCAATATAAATATGCAAATGTTCTTAAATCAAGATTTACTTGAGATGCAAAATGTACATATGGAGTCTTGTTTTCTGAATTGAACAAAATGAAGTGAGTTTATGCTTAAAACAAGAACACATATCCGTCATTCGGTATGAAAACGTGTGAAACAGTTGAGTTTATTGGAAGTTTTTTTTATCAATTTCTCAGAAATAAGACTTATGTCATTTTGTTTCTCCAGTAAATGCATTTTGATTTAAGAATCTTCAGACATTTGCGCTGAAAACTAAGAGTGATTCGGAGGATGAACAGCACTTTTCTGCAGTGTCATCAGAAGATACAGTAAGAGTTTCCACACTCCGTGTGTAGTGGTTCCATACTCATATTCACTTTCACATTTAGAAACCATATTGAAGTATTGCATCCAATTGATTTAAGTCCTGAAGTCCTGCAGAGGCGAGTGAGGACATTGTGATTTTAATGAAACTTCTTGTCCTCAGAGTGGTCGAAGTGCTTTAAGCTGAAATGTGTTAAAGTCGTTAACACAGCAATAGAGTAAATATAGCTGTGAAACGTTCCTGCCATTGTAAGTTGCCTTCACATTTGCAATTGACAGACTCGGCTGTCTTCAGTCCCTCATTAAACGTTTCCTGTGTAATGCTGGCGGAGGATTGCATCATGTCCAGCTGTCCATGCACACATCAACACGGCTCTGTCGGCTCATGCCAGCGGCGCTCAGAGGTCAGTTTCCAGTCACTGCATCAACCACAAGAGCAAACGCAGCTGACGGTACAAGCTGTTCCTAGTACAGTTTAGTGTAGTCTACGAAATGTGATATATATATATTAGGGCTGCACGATTATGACAAAAATCATAATTGTCGATTATCCCCTTGAAATTGTAATTGCGATTATTAAATACGATTATCACAATTTACATTGAACGATGCTTATACCATTGTTTGATGCAGCTGCGTGCCGTATTTTTATATGAACATAAACAAGCTGAAAACACTAACTGAAAAACTTTTAGTGCTTTTCTATAGTCTTAAACCTCAAATGTCAAATATACATCGGATTAGTTTCTTCTTTAAATTATAAAAATATGAATGGTATTATATAGGGATGCTCCGATCGATCGGTATCGGCCGATAATCACATTTTATGACTCGATCGGTACTCACTAACTTGGCCGATCTCACGAACCGATGGCAATTTTATGACGTCAACGCGTGATTCTGAACTTTGACCGCGGCAGCGGGTGCGCTTTGGTCGGCGCAGCAACTAACCGCCCTTGTGCGGCGCAAGCCATTGAAATGAATGGGTTTCATAGCGCAGCGCTTTCCTCGTCCGGTGTGAAAGGCCCTTTGCGGCTCCACGGCCCCCGGAGCTGATCACGGCCGCTCTAGTCAGTGCTAGTGTTTATCAGCCAGCCGTGGCACGGGTCTGAAGCGGCTCTCCGTGCTGCTTGGCTAAAAATAGTCTTTTGTGAGTTGCCACAGCGTGGAGGACGGAACAAAACCTTGTCAGAGACGTATGGGGTAACGGTAACATAATACGCTGATCGTGGGCTGCTTTTAAATGAACATTTATTTATAAAACAAAATATCTTCTTTGGCCATATTAGCCTACTCAGTAGCATTAACACAGGCTTTACTCCTTTAAAACTTTATCTGGAATGTCATCGTTTCGGTCACTGCAACTTCCCGATCAGGCGAACACACACACACACACACACACACACACACACACACACACACACACACTCACACACACACACAGACACACACACACACACACACTCACACTCGCACACAAATGAAATGTCTCCATGATGAAAAAAAAAGTAGTTAATATTTGCATAATTTAGGATTTATTTTATCCACCCGTGACCCACCCGCAAATAATCAGAATGCATTTCTTTATTACCCGACCCGCAGCGCCCGTGGACTGAACTGTTTGTTCTTTCAGTAGTTTAAATGTTTCTATTTCTTTTTTCCTCTTCAGTCTTATATTGGACAGTATTAAACCTTATGTGTTACATCAGACTTCTCAATATTGGAGTTTAAATGTTTCTATTTATTTTGTCCTCTCTCTAGCATTGGACAATGTTAAATTAAACCTAATGAGTTGCATCAAACTACTCCAATTAGTTATTTTAGGAGTTTAAATGTTTTTTCTTATTTAATGTTTATTTTGTCCTCCACAGTTTACTATTGGATCATGCTTAAATAAACCTTGTGGGTTGCATCAGACTGCTCCATTTTGTTTATATTTATTTTTGTCTTATATTAAGTATCCTGATATACATATACAACTATGTCTATACATAGTTAGACAAAATATATATTCTATGATCTGCTTTGTAAAAAATAAAAAGTGGTGTTAAGAGGTCAGGTTATTGTACATCCAGCCTGTTATTTATAGGCTGTTTTAATCCATTCTTCCAAGCAGAGGTCCGAACAAAAAACTAAACATTTTTTACATGCATTGTATTTGTACATTTAGATACATGTGAGGCCATGTGACAGAAAAATACTGTTTCTGTTCAAGGTTTTCCTCCTGAAATCTATATTTTAGCCTACTTAAAAGCATTATCTAAAAACATCTTGAAGCATCAGAATCGGCATCGGTATCGGCCGATCACCATGACAAGAAATCGGTACTCCGTATCGGCTGCAAAAATCCTGATCGGAGCATCCCTAGTATTATAATGTTATCCTAAAACTAAGACTAAAACAATGGAAAAACCCTTAAGATAACATGTAAAAAGAAAAAAACATATCTTAAGCGTGCAGAATAACATAAGTGGACTTTGAACGATTACGTAATTGTGGCATCCATAATTGTAATCCTGATTAGAAATTCGATTAATTGTGCAGCCCTAATATATATAATATATGTATATAAGTATGTATAAGTGTCCAACACTATACATACCACATACTACATAGCAAATCTCAACTGCTTGATTGTTTATATTGTTGCAGAAAAGTAAACTATATTATAATCCAGCTCTAATCTGCTGAATGCAGCTATAAGGCATGAACATAGTAAGATATTATGAACATTAACATCATTAGTGCCCTATGTAATCCATTTAATTTTTTCCTCAAATTCTCAAATCCGTTTTATTTTGACCAAATTCTGTGCTTTCCATTTTAATTTTTCTGGATTTCATTTTAATGCAATGTCAACAATCAAAAAGCGTGTCTTAATTAATTAAATTCATAAAAACAATTGATTATTATTATTATTATTATTACAATAACAGGGCCCTATGAAATGGTTTTCTAGTAATCAAATGAAGACATAAAACAATTTCATTTATCCTTTAATCAAATGGAAATTAAACAAATGGAAGTGCTGCACAACAGAGGTTTGCTGTTAAGGTTAAAATGTGGAAGAAAATTAGTGTGATTTTTGTATTGATTATTGAGTAATACTTTTATTATTATTAGTGTTATTATTATTATTATTATACTGAGACATACATTCTACTATACAATAGTAATATATTTTTCTCACAATTTCTTTGTTAAACCGACATTTTATTTTGACGGGTTGCCGTGAAGACCTTTACGTTTCTGCGTGTATGATATGACGGTAGGTTTTTTTCAAATGAAACGGGTCAGATGCTCATGAAGTGACTGGAGTCTGGAGATGAAGTTCATGTATTTATGTCCTCATTTAGTGAGATGGCAGATGCTGAAAACACCGCGAGCGTCACACTTGATGAATGAAACTTTCGGGTACTTTGGTAGCCCTGGTTCTCTTATAACAGGAGTGAGGTATCTCACTTTGGGAATCGCCTCTGGCGTGACCAATCCTTGAAGCAACAATTAAACCACGTCTTGTCGGTTGACAGACCAATCATGA